CCTACACGTAGACTGTATTGGGGAGCGGGTTCCGCTCTTCCTCCCCGAGCTGCTGCGGGCAGAGACACATGACAATCACACACACAGGAACAGAAAATGATTTAAAAATGGAGGGGGAAATGATTAGTTAAAAATGATCTAACTCGTTCAAATAAATCACTGTAAATAACGATTTCGATTATTTTTAGCCTTTAGCCAAATTGAGCTGTTGGTTTGATTAACCACACTTCATATTCTGTTTCAGACGACACTTTTTCAAACTTATGTTGTTACGATATTGTGTTTTATCATTATTTTGTGGGGCCCGAGACCTTTTTTTTTTTTTTTAAAGTGATGATTAACCTTCAAAATGTTTTCTATATGTAGTTTGTCTAAATACAATTTACAACCCTGATTATGTCTCCAAAGAGAGAGAGAGAAAACACATTCGTCCATTTAACCCCTTTAAAAAAACTAATATTTCCCATACTTATTGTGCCTGTTAAACACAAGTACACAGACAAACTATTGTTTGTACAACTGTTAAACATTACAACCAAAACAAGCTCCAAAACAGTCTGAAATTCATGTATAAGGTTAATGACAAGTCAGTTTCTGCAGGTTTTATAAAAGGTAAGACCAGTAAATTAAATGGAAAAGAATGTCAATATGGTGTCAAAATGTAAACGTCTTGTATTGCTGTAGCAACGCTTCCAAGTTTGAAAAAAATTATAATAATTCAACAAAAATGTTGAATAGCACTGCTCCCAACCACTACTAGAATATTGAAGTAAATTTTAGTGTACTGAAAATGTCTGAAGATTTTTAAATCAGTACACATTTAGGGCACTTAAGAAACAAGGGTTTGAGGAAATCACCAAAATGAAGAGTTTTTGATTAAACCAAAAACAAATAACTGCCAATGGGCTCAGGAAAATCAACTTAATTAAAAGGGAAAACAAGTTTTCATACCTCATTGACAGATGTTTGTTCTTAAGGATAAATGCATATTTTACATATAAACGTAATATTTTAAATATGCATTTCAACTAAAGGAATCTTGATGTAAAGACGTTTAGATATTTGTATTGAAAAAAAACATTGCAGTGCATGCAAGATTTAAATGCCATGACATTAAAGGGATAGTTCACCCCAAAATGAAAATTCTGTCATTAATTACTCACCCTCGTGTTGTTCCAAACCTGTAAGACCTTCGTTCATCTTCGGAACACAAATTAAGATATTTTTGATGAAATCTGAGAGCTCTCAGACCCTGCATAGACAGCAACGCAACTGTAGCCTAATGTTCCCAGGTCCAGAAACGTAGTAAGGACATCAGTAAAACGGTCCAACAAAGCTGATTATGTCGATTACGCTCTTGGGTACTCGACAAAATGGCGGAACACGTAACTCGGGGGAGAAGAACTGAAATAAATTATTTTGTTTTCTTTGCACTCAAAAAGCATTTTCGTAGCTAGGTCCAGAAACGTAGTAAGGAAATCAGTAAAACGGTCCAACAAAGCTGATTATGTCGATTACGCTCTTGGGTACTCGACAAAATGGCGGAACACGTAACTCGGGGGAGAAGAACTGAAATAAATTATTTTGTTTTCTTTGCACTCAAAAAGTATTCTCGTAGCTTCGCAAAATTGAAGTTGAGCCACTGATGTCACATGGACTGTTCTACTGATGTCCTTACTACATTTCTAGGCCTGGGAACATTGCAGTTGCGTTGCTGTCCATGCAGGGCCTGAGAGCTCTCATATTTAATCAAAAATATCTTAATTTGTGTTCCGAAGATGAACGAAGGTCTTACGGGTTTGGAACGACATGAGGGTGAGTAATTAATGACAGAATTTTCATTTTGGGGTGAACTAACCCTTTAAGACAGCGGTGCCCAAACCGGTTCCTGGAGATCTACCTTCCTGCAGAGTTCAGCTCCAACACAACTGAACCAACTAATTAGGATCTGAAGGAGCACTTGATAATTACAGACAGGTGTGTTTGATCAGGGTTGGAACTGAACTCTGCAGGAAGGTAGATCTCCAGGAACAGGGTTGGGCACCCCTGCTTTAAGACATGCTCCAATTTTAGAAATGTTTGCCCTTGATTTGACAGGGCAAATTAAGACCCACAAAAACCCTGCAAGTAGTGTTGCAGCCAGAATGTTTAATGCACACAATTGCATTCGCAGTACCTGAAAACCAAATGTGATGCTCCAGAACCTGCTGATGCTTCAATCATTCTCCAGATACCACACACTCAATAGGCAGCAAAGCAGATTGTATTTGTAGGTGCACATCGTATACATAATTTAAGCGGAGTTGTGTGCTTTAAAGTTAAGATTCGTTCGAACGTACACAGTGGTTTAAGAACCATTTGAGCCTATATCTGTTAAAATACAACAGTTTTTAAACCATAAATTTCATAATGTTTAGAAACGCATACTGGCAACATTCCTTTAATAGCCACTTTATACAAAACTCAAACATTTACACATTCAACACAAAGTACAAAAGCCAAACACTTCCAGTAGTTATTAAACCGGTTTTATAGAGAAAGAATGGAAAAAAAACGTTTATATTTTTCCAGTGTGGTAACACAGACTACCACTCATTTAATCACTAAACAGAACAAAAACCGTCACTGCTTTTTACAGGCAGCTTACAGAAAATTAAGCAGGGGCGCCATCAGACGACCTTCAGGCAGTTTAACAGTGGGTGGGAGGTCACCTTTGCTGCTCTATAGTAAAAAACACGTTTAGAACAAACCAAACACTAGGCCAGAAGAGTCAAAAAACAAAAAGCGCGAGGCATGATTCAATCAGAGCACTTACACAAGCTCGCTGTACACAAAGCAAAGCACAATCAAATGGCATCTCGGAGGAATCCAACCCTGCAGTGAGTGTTTGAGCGCGGGCTTATTTGCAGGATCAGTGGAGAGGTCCGCAAAAGTTCGCCATGCTCAATTTATTCTGCTCAGCGTGCTGAACGCCCACAGAGCCGACGCATGTGCGGCAGAGTTGAACTCTTCGCGGCAGCCGGACTGTCCGCGCACGAACAGTCAAACCTGTGAGACCGAGCATCAGAGTACTCTATAGCTTTTTTTTAGAAGCATGTGAAACGCGGAAAGCTTCCTGTAATATGCTGAAAGCCTAAGACAAAACAGTATAAATACCGTACAGGAAGCCAGAGAGCGTTAGGGTTAGAAGAAGTACTCTGTACATTCCCTTACGCGGCAAGGCTTTATATAGTGTTGATGACGATGGACCCTCCCGCTGGTCTCTGATTGGCTAGTGCGCCCGCCAAATTGCTGATTCAACTCAATCACATTTGATAGGCACTAATTGCATTAACCCTTTCATGCATTAATTATGGAAAACATTATCTAGATTTTTTTATGATTCTTTTTATTACTTTATTATGATGCTAAAATTGAAATCCATTTCCATTTTTACAAAATTCAGTTTTATTAAAAAAATATTTAACTGTCCACGTATGTGGACACCATGCAACAAAGGCGTAAAATGGGACATAAAGCCACAGCTGACAATATGGAATATTGTGTGTTTTTTTAATGGCATGTTATGCTATTTATATCAGCTCAGTTATTAAAAACAATAATATTACAATATAATAACAATAAAACACATATTGTAGGAACAATAACAGTAGTTACATATATGCGGAAACCTATTAGCAATATGGGCAAATCATGGAAAACATTCACTGCTGATTATTATCATTATTATTCTGATTATTATTATTCTGTACTGACTCCTTGACGTATGCTGTCCCTGTTTCGAAGGCAAAATGCTAATTTGTCTCCATATGCATGTGTAATATTGCCATTTAATGCTGTAATATGTCATTTTAAATGGTTATGTTGATATATTTGTTAAATGCCTGTTTTATTACAATATAAGACAATTCATAACATCTTTGAAAAAACTAAAATGTTAATCTCTATTATTCTGTACTGACTCCTTGACCTACGCTTCCCTGTTTGGAATTTGTCTCCATATGTATGTGTAAAATTGCCATTTAATGCTGTAATATGTACTTCTAAATGGTTATTTATGTTGATATATTTGTTAAATGTCTGTTTTATTACAATATAAGACAATTCATAACATCTTTGAAAAAATAGAATAGATATACTCGCAGGTTACAGAAGTTAGACTTTATGCAATCTGACTCCACTGTTGCATGACGTCCACATACGTGTTTTTTAGTGAATAAAAACGACATTTTACTCTAAATTTTAGATTATAAAATACTAACATATTCATCATACTTTACTGTACATACTAATATTTTTTTTTTTACCTCAATTGACTTCCTTATATAAAAGTTTTTCACAGATATGCCTGGGGCATTTAGCACATTGCTATCACTGTCAGCCATCTTGGATTAATGATGTCATCAAGCAATGAATATTTGGAATGTAAGATATTAGCCACTGTTACAATATTGCTGTCAATCTACTGACACTGACCTCAAGTGGTTTGGAGAAAATTACCATCATAAATGAACCCTAAATTGAGTTAAATTAACTGTCCACAAATGTGGACACCATGCATGAAAGGGTTAATCAAATTAAATTAGACATAAATAAATAAATAAAATAATGACAACAGTCAATGTCCTGGAAACCCCAGAATATCCGCATTCTGGAAGTTGAACTTTGTGTTTTGATGTTTCAGCAGAAAAGAAAGTATGTCTGGCCCATTCATAATACAGATTAATTATTCAAAGAATTAGGCTACTAATGTTATGCTCAGATTACTGTATCAAACAAATTTAAAAATTTAAAAATCCCTTTGAATTTCAATGGGTTTTTAGAATAGAGGTGTTTGATTTAGTGAAGCAATATAGGCTACTTGAAGATACGTTCACATTTTTCTACAACATAAAATACAGTAATTATTTACAGCTAAATGCTAAAATGTTCGTTTTCATACATAATAGAGTGTTGCAGTGATGACATATTTTTGTAAGGTTGGCACCACCTTTTGTCTCTCGACGAAAGACTTTTCCACTGGCTTTTTGATTATTGCAGAAAATAAGTTTTGTGACCAGCAGAAGTTTA